GTGAAGTATCAGGGATGTTAGGTGAGTGAGGGACTCGTCCTGTGAGCCCCAAGTCCTCCCCACTCTGGGTCCCTCATGGTCCCCCAATTTTGTGAACGCACTTTTACACTGGGCATCTTCTAGCCACAGGAGACGTCCATGCATGGAGGTGTACCAAGGACCCAGCAGCAGGTGCTGGCCATGACTCCCCATCACCCAGACTTGCCAGGTCTCCACTTCCTGGCCTGACATTCCCGCCTCTCCAGCAGGTCAGCTAAACACTACCAGTCTACCCTTCCTAGCCACTTGTGAAGGTTCCAGGCAGGAGAGAAGAGGGCAAAGGGAGCCGAATGCAAGGCCTGGGCACACTGGGCATGGGCAGACTGTAGGAGCCACACAAGCCTCCTCAAAGGAGGCCAGGACAGACAGGATTATTGAGACAAGGTGCCTTGTGACACCCAGGCAGCCTGGCCCAGGAGCTCCTGGACCCCAAATGCCAACTGCTCTTTGGCGAAAAGTTTGAGAGGACGTTCAGCCCTCCCTAAACACTTAGGGTTGCCCAAGTCCCTCACTGTACCTGGAATGAGGACAAGATCCTGACCTGGCAGGCCTCCTGGCTGAAGAGATAACCAGCACTCAATTTTAATTACACAAAGAGAAACACCATCAGAATGTTCTAGAAATTCAGGGAAGGGAACGATCACTTGGGGGTGGGGGACTCCCAGAGAAGGCAGCGTGGAGGAGGTGGTCCCTGGGCATCCAAGAATAGGACCCAGGGCTACAGTAAGCATGGTGTAGGCGGGGAGACAGCAGCTCCTGCCACTCAGTGTGGCCTCTGTCCTGCTGGACTGTGTCTTCATCTGTAAAGTGCGACCTTATACCTGGCGACAGGATTGTGCCGAGATGGAGGGGGGCTGTGAGAGCTGCCGGGTAGTTGAGAAGGAGCCTGGCAGAAGGGACAAGAGCCCTACAGGCTCAGAGGTGGCCTTAGTGTTACCCCTGCCCCACCATGGCGCCCTGGGTATTCCAGCCCCCTTCCCCTAACGGTCCGTGGGGAGGTCCGTGCTGTGCTCGGGTCAACATCCAGCTCTGCCAGAGCAGCCCGAAGCCTCCCTTGGTGGGTGCGTGGCTGGGACTGGAGGGGCCATTCAGGGCTGCCTGCCCTCCTGGCGTCTGGCTCCCCACCCCCAGCCTGTGAGGTCAGGGGACAGGTATTTCAGGAATGCAGGAGGCAGGCTGCCAGCCTGGTCTGGATAACCATGGGGTAAATATTTGCCTTGCTCCTGGAGCCAGGGCAGACACCAGGGAGAACAGGAGTCTATCCCTGGGGTCATATAAGGGGATGCATGCAGGGAGGGGGCCCTCCAAGGTGGGAAAACCCCTGTCACCCCGAGAGTCTGCTGGCCATCGACCAGCAGCTGTCTGGCCCGGGGGTAGCACAGCCCAGGTGCCTGAGGGTCAGTGTGTCGGGAATTGTTCAGCCAGGGAAGTGGCAGTGGGACCATGTAGCATGGGTGCCCTGTGACCATAGTGCTGATCCTTACTCTGCCTCTCATGATCTTGAGCCCTCTCCTCTCCCTGACTTGTATCTCACCGTGCCCTGAGCTCTTCTTCCATGACACCTGCGTCTGTACACCCCACAATGCCTTAGGCCTGACAGTCCCCTCCCCCAGCTTGAGGGGTGTCCAACACGGTGGCAAGAGTGCCTGGGTGCCTAGAGCCGCCTGGCTCTGAGCAGAACTGCTGAGCAGCTCCCAGGGCTGGGCAAGGGTCAGGCTCCCTGGCTGGTCACCCCTTCATGGGCAGAATGTGAGGCGGGCAGACTGCTTACTCACATCCCAGCTGCATTCTTTTTTTTGAGTTGGCGTCTCACTCAGTCGCCCAGACTGGAGTGCAGTGGCTGCCCCCGGCCACCGCAGCCTCGACCTGCTGGGCTCCAGCGATCCTTCTGCCTCAGCTTTCCAAGTAGCCGGAATTACAGGCATATGCTACCATGCCCAGCTGATTTTTTGATTTATTGTAGAGATGAGGGCTCGCCAAGTTGCCCTGGCGGATCTCGAACCCGCGAGCTCAGGCCATCCACTCACTTCAGTCTCCCAAATCACGGGATTACAGGCTGAGCCACTGAGCCCGGCTCCCAGCTGCATTCTTATGAGCTCCATATTAGCTGTGCCACCTCAGGAAGTTATAGAACCTCTCTGGACCTCGTATGGAACAGTTTCTACCTCCCAGCATTTCACTGGGATTAAAGACAATATCCCAGGCATCATCCACAATGAGGACTCAATTAAGGCAAGCCTCCTTGCCCCCCTTCTCTCTCCCAGTGGTCAGTCCAATGCAGGCTCACAGACCCCCGGCCAGGACCTGAGTTCAAATCCTATCACCCATACTTATCACTGTGTGACCTTGGACAAGTCCCTTCCCCTCACTGGTCTCAGTTTGTGCCTTCATACCAGCCTGACACCAAGGGGCCAGGTTGGCCAGGGCATGAGGCATGTGTGTGTGTACCATGAGCTGGGGCACCCCTGTGAGGCAGGAAGGGTGGACATGATCCTGGGGGCCTGGACGGTGCTCACTGAGTGAACAAGAGATTCCGGCTCTGACTTCTGTCTCAGCTGCCAAGATAATGATTTTTCTCCTTGTCAGCGGCTGTGCTAGCCAGCTTGCCTTTGGGAAGGGCCTAGCTATGGGTAGTAGGGAGGCGGGAGGCCCATTCAGTTTCCTCCTCTGTGAAATGGATCCATGAACCCAAAACTCTTTTTTTAGTTGGAGTCTCACTCTCGCCCAGGCTGGAGTGCAGTGGCACGTTCACAGCCACCGCAGTCTCGACGTGTTCTAGGCTCAGGCAATCCTTTCACCTCAGCCTTCCAAGTAGCTGGAACTACAGGCGCACACCACCATGCCCAGCTAATTTTTTTGATTTATTGTAGAGATGAGATCTTGCCAAGTTGCCCAGGTTGGCCTCAAACTCCTGGACTTGGGCAGACCTCTCGTCTTTGCCTCCCAAAGTTCTGGAATTACAGGTGTGAACCACTGCATGCCTCTCCAAAACTGTTTATATCCCCAAGGTGACCTGAATTTGGGGACTACCAGAGCCAGAGGGTCAGGATGTGGAGCCATGCCCTCTCCCTGTGTCTGGGGTGGGGACCCTGGGCCTGGATTAGGGAGCTTGGGGCTTAGGGACCTGGCACTCCAAGGGACCCAGAGCTGGCCCCCACGAGGTCACTCGTGCCTCAGCTGACAAGCAGGGAGAGCTGCTGTCGTGTCTGGCCCTTGCTGCATCACCCTGCACAGTCTGTACGACTCCCAGAGGGAGGTTTCCTCGTTATTCCTGTATCCCCTCCCACGGTTGAGGAAATTAAGGCAGAGAGAGGTCTACGAAATGTGTCCAAGCTGCATGTTTGGTATGAGGGTGAAACTAGGGCTTGAACCAGGTCCTTGTTAATACTGAGGCCCCCATCTTACCTCTAAGCCCCAGCACCTCTTGTTGAAGCCCTGGGCTCCCACTTCTCCCTGGAAGCCCCGTCCAGCCGCACAGTGAGATAGGGCTCCAGGCTGAGGCCCCCTGGACCCTCGGTGTGAGTGGAAGCCCTGCAGACCGCCTCCCTGCTGCTAGCCCAGGCCTCGTGAGAGATGTGCAGGCCTGCAGTCAGGCTTCTTGTTTCCTAGAGGTGGGAGCGCTGGCACAGGGACTGCTCCCGGCCTCACATCGAGCCCCTTCCTGGCCAGGCCTCAAGCTCAAGGCTCCACACCTCCCAGCCTGCAGCAGGGTCTCCAGGGAAGCCTGCCAGCCGGGCCTCTGGGTCTGCCCCTCCTGGGTTCCCTTGGGGCTCCGCAGAGGAGGTGGGCCAGCCAGGCCCCACACAGCAAGGAAGGCTGTGTGTCCCTTGCCCAGCACTCCGGCAGGTCCTGTGCTTCTGCTTGCTTCTCGTTCTCTGTCCTGAGCTCACGGGCTCAGGCCTGGGCCTGGAACAAACTCCCCACTGTTCTCCTGCCTTCTCCTGTCCCTCCGGGCTCTTCTCCTCAGCAGCCACGGGGTCCTCCCAAACTAGAACTGGAGTCATGTCCCTCAGCTGCCCAGCCGCTCCCATGGCTCCTGTCCACCCTCTCCTGGCCCTGTCCCCTGGTCCCCACTCACACCATCCACTCTCAAGTCCTCCGTTGGGCCAGGCTTTTTCCCCATGTTGGAGTCTTCGCACATGTTGTTCCCTCATCTCGGCTTGCATCTCTCTGGCTTGTCCTTCAATGTCACTTCCCCAAAGAAGCCACCTTGGAACTTGAGTCTCTGCTGTGTAACCCCTGTACTTACTCTTTCTGGCAAGCACTGCCTTTAATTTTGTGTTATTCTTTATCTATCTATCTATGTATTTATTTATTTATTGAGTTGGAGTTTCACTCTGTTGCTTAGATGAGTGCAGTGGCACATTCCTGGCCACCACAGCCTCAACCTGCTGGTCTCCGGCGATCCTTCCTCCTCAGCCTTCCTAGTAGCCGGAACTACAAGCGCACGCTACCACGCCCAGCTAATTTTTTATTTAATGTAGTGACAAGGTCTCGCCAAGTTGCCCGGGTGGGTCTCGAACCCACGGGCTCAGGCAGTCCACTCGCCTCGGCCTCCCAAAATGCTAGGATTACAGACTGAGGCGCCATGTTATTCTTAGCTCGTTGTTGAGTCCCCATATGGGCAGGGACCGCTGTCACAGCCCAGAGTGCTTGTTAAGTGTTTGTTGAATGAATGTGTGACTGCCAAGTACCTTTGTCACCATAGCTGCTTGGGTCCTCCCAGCAGCCTTGGGAGAGGCTGGAGCATGTCCACATCCCAGAGCAGGTGACTGCAGATGTGGAGTGCCGGGTTCTGTTTACCTCTGGGCTCCCTGTCATGCTTCTCAGGCTCCCCATCTGTCAGATGGGATGATACGGTTCTGCTGGCTGTACACTCTCCCGTGGGGTCAGGTGGTGGCAGGGTGGTCGGTGCTGGGGTCCCTCTGGGGAAACCCACTCATCACCCCTTCTCGTTGCAGCAGGATGGAGCTGGAGTGAGGTGGAGGGCTGCGAGCTGCTGACCGGCGCGTGGGACACTGGTGATTTGCGGATCACTGAGGTAGGTGTGCCACTGGATGGCAGGGGGCTGGACTGGATGCCTGTGGGAGGGGCAGGTATGTCCCCACGGGGGCACGGAGTGCTGGCCCCAACACACTGCACCTTTGGCCCGGGTCTCAGCCCTCGTGAGCGGGAGTGGCCGCCTCTGCTGGGATCTCATCGTGCCCCAAATGAGCCCTCCCCGTACCCAGCGCCAACCCAGTGGCCTCTTTGGCCTGGCCTTTCTCTAGGATGGCTGCCAGGGGTGGGGACTGAGGGATGTGTCTGGGAGAAGGGCGGGTCTGGGTCCCCAAAAGCCCTGCCTGCACAACTCTGAACCCTATGGGGGTATAGGCAGCTGCATGGGAAGAGGCCTGGGTGGGCCAGGACCTGCTGGCTAAAGTGGATGCAGGGCTGCCCCCTCTTTTGCCCATTCCTACAAACATGCGGAGATGGAGACACATGGCATGTGTTCACTGTGACCTGTGTGTGTTCTCGGTGCCTCAGTTTACCCATGCGTCAATTAGGCATGAGACAGCAGCACACCTGACACACAGCAAGCACTTGGGATCTGTCAGCTGTTTGACTCAAGTGTGTTGGGACCTTCCCTTCTATCCACACGCCTCCGTCTCCACCATCCTCTTCCTCCTGAGGGCCCATGAACGCCAAGGTGGACGCGAACTGCTCGCCCAGCCTGATGAGGGGTCCGGGCTCCTCAGGAAACTCCTGAGGGTACAGCAGATCCTGAAGACCGAGCCTCTCGGTGGAACCTCTGGCCTGCACACTGGCGTGTCTCATCACGGGGTGACATTTCAGGGTGGCTCACACTTGGCCCTGAGCCCAAGGGTGACCCCTGTCATCTCTGTTGACTTGCGCCTCTCGACCCTGGGATGATGCTTGCATGGGCCAGGGCCTTTGTCCCAAGGCACAATGGTGCTGCGGCCAACCTGGGAGAGGGAGTCTTGGCCCTGGTGGACTCACCCAGGGTGGGGATGGGCTGGCCTCAGTTGGGCTCTGGAACCAGGAAACCTTGCTCCACCTCCCTTCCTGCTGCAGGAAATTCCACTCCCTGCTCTCTGCTGCATGACCTTGGGCCAGTCCCTTCCCTCCCGTGAGAGTCAGTCTTCTCATCTGAAAATGAGGGTGATTATCCCAGCATTGCTGACAGGGCTGTTGTGAGGATGCTTAGAAGCCACGAATGTTTTTAAACGTTACAGCTTCGTGAGCGTCCACTGCGTGCAAGCACTCTGCTGCTTAAATACATATTTCTCCCCACAAGAGTCCCGTGAGGAGGTTGTTTAATGCCTTGTCCTCCAGAGGCTCAGCAGGCTTAAGAAACCCACAGAGCCGTGTGCACATGGCAGGGTGCGGATTGGAACCAAGGCCCACAGCGTTAAGCACCCCGCAATGCCTTGGGGACTGGGCCTGGGCCCCGGGGCAGGCCCCAGGTCGCTGCTCAGGAAACAACCTCCGTGTCTGCCTTGCAGCCTTTGCCTGCCCTCCAAGCCCGTCTGCCTGCAGGAGCCGGAGGGTGGCCCCCCCAGGCTGGTGGTCTGCCCCTCCCCAGTGGGGCCTGCCAGCAATCCGATAGGGATAAGGGAACCCACTGCCAATTGTCGGGTAACCTTTGAAATTCTCCTTCATGGTGGCTTCTCTTTTCGGATGTTTTTCAAGGTAATTCATTCCCTTTCCAGAAATTGCCAGTGGCGGAGCATTAGGCAGCTGGTAATTAATCATAGGAACAGCTTCCAGTTTATTCTTTAAAAAAAAAAAAGTGAGGAACAGAAAGCCTTGGTGGAAAAAGAAAAGAAAACCACTCCAAGGCAAGGGCGGTAATCAATACCTGGGTGTCCTAGAAACGGCCAGGGTGGGGACGGCGGACGCACAGCCTTCTCCCTCCTTCCCAGGGCTGGCAGGCTGTGGTGCCTGCGGCAGCAGCAGAAGGCTGTGCTCTTGCCCACCGGCTCCCTGTGTGGCTCTGAGGAGCAGCTGCCTCTCCCTGGACTCAGCTTTGCCACCTGTAAAATGGGTGAAGGGCAGGTGTTAGACCGGAACAGATTCCTGGGGGAGGGGCAGACATGTCCCCCTGGGGAACAAAGTGCGAACCCCAGCACACTGCACCCTTGGCCTTAGGCCTCAGCCCTCGTGAGTGGGAGTGGCCGCCCCTGCTGGGTCCTCATCGTGCCCCAAATGAACCTCCCTGTACCAGCACCCACCCAGTGGCCTCTTTGGCCTGGCCTCTCTCTAGGGTGGCTGCCAGGGGTGGGGACTGAGGGCTGTGCCCAGGAGAGGAGCAGGTCTGGGTCCCCAAAAGCCCTGTCTGCACGACTCTGAATCCTGTGGGGTTGTGGGCAGATGCGATGGAAGAGGCCTGGGTGGACCAGGACCTGCTGGCTGAGGCGGATGCAGGGCTGCCCCCTCTTCTGCCCATCCCCACAAACGAGTATCAGATGACCCCTGTTTACTCCACCGCCTAACACCTGGCACACGAGGTAGTTGCCATTGGTGTTTGATTAATTGCGTGAGCAAATTCCTTTTGGGTCCCAATTTTCTGTCATCAGTGAAGGAGGTGCTGCTGGCTACAGGACGTTGTTTCTCTAGCTCTGTTACGATCTGGAGTGACAGTCAGGGTGATGGACCCATTCTGTCTGTTTCTAAACTCACAATGAAAGGACAGTCTTGCCCAGTGGACTCTGTGGCGACCCTTGGTGGCGACCACACTGTCTCTTTGGTATCCGCACGTTCAACTTGCCAAGAGTCTGAGCTGTCTAGAGATTTTTTGTTAAAGCTGCCTTCCAGGGAGGTTGTGAGTTTCTCGTCACTACAAAGTATGTAAGCTGGGATTGGGGCTGCACGGGGCATGTGGGTAGTGGACTGGGGGGCTTGGGGCATCCCTAGGCATCTAGGAGAAAGCATGAGGCTCTCCAGGTAGGCACTGGGGAGGCAGGATGGGCAGGGAGGGAGGGCTGGAGGAGGCACATCCAGGCACAGGAGGTCGATGCTTCACTGCCTGCTTCCCCTGACAGGCCCCACTGCAGGGACATCAGGACACTGAGCAGGGTCAGGGGAAAGACCCAGGCTCCCCGTCCGGTGGTGAGGGGAGAGTAGCATACAGGCTGTGGTTGGGTAGAGAGTGTAGGGAGTGGAGAGCCTGTCTGGGAGCTGGAGGCCTCAGGCCCAGGCCTGACCTGCTGGTCCGTCTGGGGTCACCTCAGCAGCTCTGTCCCCTCCCTGGGATTGGGTCAGGAAGGCAGGAGATGGGGAGCATATTCTCCAAGGCTGTCTTCTCCAGAGAGCCCCCTCCCCCGCCCAGGTGGCTCTGCATAGGGGCCAGAGCTAAGCCTGACAAACCCAATCTCCCTCTTGACCCTACTGTGGGGTCAGAGTTCCCCACCCAAAGCCCCAAGACCAGCAGTACGCCCTGGAGGCTCCGGGAAGTTCAGGGCTTCTAGAGAGAGACGAGGGAGGGTGTGCGGCTGTGCCTGCGTTTGTGTGTGTGTGTGTCTGTGGTGAGGATGTGGGTGTGATCATTCAGGCTGGTGTGTGATGCTGTGTGAATACTGGTGAGACCCCTCTACTGATGTACCAGGACACCCCCCCCCGTGTGTGCACCGGCTCCACATTCACACTGTCCTGGGGGCCCCACTGACCATGAGAGAGCTGACTGAGGAGCAGGATGGGGGGCCAAAGGTGGGCTCTGGAAGGGCCCCAGAGGGGGAAGCATCCAGGCCTTGAACTCTTACCTGCGCTTCACAGCGGGAGGTCCTGACTGTGCCGTGGTCTGGACCTTGTGGCTTGGGAGGTCATGCTGCCCGCCTTAGACTCATACCCACAAGTCTCCGGCCTGAAGCCTCTGGGTGGGCCCAGCTGGTCCCCCTGGGCAGGCCGGCTGTGCTGGGGAGTCCTCTGCGCAGCCAAACTTAGCTTGGCACTAGTCATTTCTTTACTTCTGTCCTTGGCTTTCCGGCCCCAGCTCAGCTGTGTGTACTGCCTGGTGCTCTGGGCGGGCCGGGGCACTGGTTCTGTCTTGCGTCTCTCTGCCTCTCCTGTGACTGTCTTTGTCCCTGCCTCTCTTGTGGCTCTCTCCTGCCCGGCTCCCCTCTCTTCTCACACCCCCCCCCCAGCAGCCTCCCCTCATGTGGCCTCCCTCGCCATGGGACCTCACCTCAGTCTCCTGCCCTCAGAGCTGCTCCCTGCCAGGCATCCCCATAGCACGTCTGCGCCCTGTCATCGCCTTCTGACGTCCCCAAGGGAGAACCTCCTGGCCTCCCAACCTGCCACTTTCGCCTTGTGTATCCAGCCCTAGCCAGTACGCCGACTGTCTCCCGTCCTGCTCTTCAGAGGCGTCCAAGGCAGCACCCCACACCCCGTCTTCCCAGAGGCTGTGATCTGTGTGTGTCCAGGCAGTGGAGGCAGGCGCCCATGCTTTTCCATGACCCACCATGCCAGCCAGCTCAGCTAGGCCGGTGCAAGCTGAGAGCCACCCCCGTGGCTGCCCCGTGCCGTCCGGGGCCGACGGACCACTGGCCATGGGCTGGGGCCCAGAAACGGGGGTGGGGGGCTGCGCCCACTAGCAGGGCAGCCGAAAAACTGGCATTTCCCTCCAGCATTAATGAAATTCCTGCTATAATTAGAAGTGAGGTGTGCAGAGCTGGCTGCCTGGCGCGAGCGTTTGTGTGCTCATGAATAAATAAATTGTCCCCTCCCAAGAGCTGGGGTGGGCTCCCAGAGAAGTACGGGTCTGGAGGGGCTCCGTGGCCTGAGACGTAGGCCAGAGGCCCCACCACTCACCTGGACATCCTCGGGGGCTCCCTCGGTCTCCGGCCCTGGTCCCAGTCTTCCTGGAAGTGCCTGCTGCGTGCCCACCCTACTCTGCCTGGCATTCGAAGCCGCCGCCATCTGGCCTCTGTTTGCAGTCACCTCACACGCTAAGCCTTCTGCTTGTGCCCTGGGCTTCCACTCCACCACCCTGCCCTGTCCCAGCCTCCTCACTCCTCCCCGCTCTGCCCTCCTTCTCCCACC